AGAGACAGGGCGGCAAGCCCCTCCAGATGGCAGGCCTTCGGGAGAGATCTCAAAGTGTATTCCCCTGCAACCTTTTATATAATCTACCTACTTCTGAAAACTATTGCAGAACACAGGTGCCTGAGTCCCCTGCGGCCCCCTGCTGCAAGAGATAAATGGAAAGAATTAGGTTGCAAGAGCTATTTTTGCCAATTTCCCCTGTGTTGCTTTTGAATACTTGGCGGACGCACTGCCCTGGGCATGCTCTGATTCCAGAGAGATAAACTGGACCCCAGATGACCAGGGAGCTTCTCCCAGCCTCTCAGCCATCAGCTCCAAATGTTTCCCTCCGGCTGACGCTTCATGACCCACGGCCTTTTCTGCCCTTAACCTGGAAATCCACTGGTCTTTCATTCAAGTCAGCAAAATTGAACAGGCTGTTTGTTGATTGCCTACAGTGCACGGCTTTATACTGAGCTCTGAGAGAGGAAATAATGGCCAAGTCCCGGAAGAATAGTCAGCATCTATATGTCCCCTTTTTTTGTTTTCAAAGGCTTTCACATTGTTTTTTCTACATAAACCTCACAGGGAATGGTATCCCCATTTTATAGGTGAGAACTCTTCCCTAACACAGGAAGAACCCAGTGTTCCAATCCAAGTTATCTGAATTCCCTATGATGATAGCTTCCTAATGAAATTCCTTATGGAATTTACTAACTCCAGAATAATGTTCAAAGTATTTTACATTTAATTGATACTTAAACTATATATATATATATATATTCCTATTCTTTAAATAAGGAAATCCAGTCACCATCAGGAAGAATAAGAAGTTCAAATTCAATACAAGTTCACTGGCTCCTAGTTCATTGGTCTCATCCAACACTAAAAGGCAGTTATTTGTTTACAACCCTCTGCAGTAGATCATATTATCTCTATTTTTTCAGATGAGGAAAATGAGGCATAGAGAAGTAAAGTATCTTACCCCAGCTTACATGAATAGAATTGAGTTCAGGTTGTTTTCATGGGTCGTAGGTACTATTTCCAGTCAGAAGGTGGAGGAATGCCAGTCAGTGGTGGTACAGAGAGGGTGATTTCACACAGTGTATAGAACTCATGGTCACACACACACACACATACACACTCACACTCCTTGGCGCATCTGCTCTGTCCCGCCTCATCAACACCAACAGGTTACATATCCCTACCACGTGACCTGGCCCCTCTCAGCTCTGCCCCTGCAGCTCCCCCAATCCTCCTTTCTCCCACAGACCAGGGTGGAGACCCTTATCTCTGCACAGTGGCAGGTCGAGGAAATGGGGAAGGGGATGCAAGTTACTCGACCGAGTGACAAGTGACCACAACCCTAGTGATGTTGACAAGTTACTGGGCTAGGAAACACCAAACGTAGCAGCACCACTACCTTGACATCCCCTCTTCCTACAGCTGCTCTGCCCAACTGCATAGATCCTGCGGTCATTTTGTGATCACCCCCTCTGACAGCATGAGGTGGGTCTGAGTTCCTCAAAACTCTCCAGTGAGACTAGTTATCAGAGTTATGGATGGAACATTTCACTAGGGAGTAGAGTGACCAGCCAACCTTTTCTGTTTCCCTAGGGTAAGGATTTCTGGTCTCCTAGAATTCTCAATGCTTTTTAAAACTAAGAAATTCCTGGGCAAAGTAGTTTCCTATGGTACATGCTCCATTGTCCCCCCAGTTAACTAGTATCTGAAGCTGGCTGAGAGGATAAATAATTTGGAGCCAAAGTTGAAGAGTTTGTTCAAAGGGAGAACCCAGAATGAACATCACCAATCACAGCCCCTCAAAGCTGGAGCTGAGGAGCTTTGATGAGAACAGTGAAAATTCCGAGAGGGAGAGTGGAACCCAGTTCAAAGGATTTTGAATAAAAGACTGAAGTGTCAGGGGTGGTCTGGAAGGAGCCACTTGTACATCTCAATCTGGTGGTTTCTTTGGTGGCTGCACAAACACTTGAAGAATTCTTCCCTCAGCATCATATATCTTTATTCAGTACTGTCCCTATCCCCCTGTTCCCTGTCACCTCACTACCCTTATACTGTCTGCAGGAGAAGTTCTTGGGCCCTGCCCAGGGGGTGCTGTGGGAGGTGAGGGCACAGTAGGGGTGGGGTTCCTCTGGGGTTTAGTCTCAGGCCGGTCACATTTGCGTTCCTCTGTGCCTCCTTGCAGATGACTGCTTATGGGGCTTTCCTCCACAAGGGCTCTTTCTGCCGGAACTACTTCAACATCTTGGACCTGCTGGTGGTCAGCGTTTCCCTCATCTCCTTTGGCATTCAGTGAGTAGGATCTTCCCGCGCCTAAAGTGGGATCATGCCACTAGGAATATGCATCAAAAGAAGAAACTTAAGGTCTTGGGGCCTTCCTGCAGAGAGTCACCTCAATGTGATGTGAATGGTCCCTGAAGTTGTAAACATGGCAACTTTAATCCCCACCCATGTCCTCAATACCATGTCCTTAGATGTATGTTGATGCAGTGGGTTTTGCTATTACCAGCAGGACCACACCAGTTACAAAGAGAATTACCTGAGCTGCCATCCTACTTCTTCACCATATGACCTTGGACTAGTGTTCATGGCCATTGCCATGATCCATCCTGATCTCCTGGTCCATCCTCCCTTGCTCTCACCTTTCTCCCCAGTCAAGCCACCTGGTGTTTTCCATGTTGGTGTGTGTTTGTGTGTGTGCACATGAGTGCTTGTGTTGGAGATGGGGCCAGAAGAGGAAGGGAGAACGCACCCAAGAGTGAGAGAAAGCTGGCAAACACTACTAGTTCCTTATAGGATTGACTTGCACAGTGGAATCACCCAGATCAATTTTTAAAAAGACATTTGCGGGGAGCTCTGGTGGCCTAGTGACAAGAAGCTGCACTGCAATCCCAGAGGTACACGGTTCGAAACCACCAGATGCTCTGCCGGAGAAGGAGGAGCAATCTCCTCCTGTACCAGTCAGATCTGATTTGACAGTACACGCACACAAAATAATAATTTAAAAAAATAAAATAAACACATTTGCCTAGATCCCAACCCTAGACATTTTTATTTAATTGGTCTGGAGTTCAACCTGGACTTTAGAATTTTTAAAAGCTCTCCAGGTAATACCACCGAACAGCCAAGGTTGCAAATCTTTCTGGAGTTTAAATGAATTCTATTACTAGTAGCTACCAAGTACCAGTAACAGAAAACAATAGTCCTGCACTTAAACTTCCAAAACACTGTGCAGGCACATTCTTATATGATCCTTGCAAAAAATTATGTGAAGTAGGGAAGACACGTGTTGTTATCACCATTTTATAGAAGAGAAAACAGAGACTGAGAGTACTCTAAGACCTGCTCAAGGCCATACCAATAACAGAGAAAGGCATGGATTCTAGGGAGCGTGACTCTTCTTTCCGTAAGTGATTTTATAGTGGGTTTAGGTGGGTGGCAATAAGAATTTAGGACTGAGATTTTTTTTCTGTAGTCATCAATCATATTACCCAGAACCTTCTGCCTGGGAGCCTATGGGGTGAGATTCTAATCCCAACACCACCGGTAAATCACTATTCATCCTTGAACCAAGAATCTCCACTCTTTAGTCTGTGCTTTCCCTGTCTGACCTTTAAATCTCTTCCAATTGTGATTCAATGCAAACTGCCTCCCTCTCTGAGATCCTCTGGGAAAAGATGATAGATACGAGTGCTCTTTGAATCCTTTGGAATAAAAGAGCCATGGACCAGAGAAATCAGATCTTTCTGCCAGCTCCCTCTTGAGCACATCAGTCTGACCACGTGAAGAATAAAATCAGCACTTGCCGACGTGCCATGCACTTTTTCTTTTAGGTCCCAAAGTGGGCATGAGGCTCTCCATATTCTTGAGAGGGTATCTCAATCAGAGATAATGGCAGAGATGATGGGATAAACTTCAGAGTTGCTTACCAACTTGGTGGTGTTAATATGTACTTGCCCAAAGGTGAACAGATAATTCCAGACCGATCCCAGCATCTTGCTGAGGCTGGCTGTGTGTGGCCTGCCCCCTAGTGCCTCCTTCCCAATAGGGAGTTGCAAGGGTCTAAAGCTCCCAGAAGTTCTTGCTTGGCCCTGGCTTCCCAGCTGTGTGGAACCTGCTAAGTAGGGACCATTCCTCCACCAGGTTTGCTTCCAGTAGGTGGTTTTTAGAAAGTAGTCATCAGATTTTTCTTCCCATGTGCTTCTAGGTAGACTGAAAATTCCAAACTTCTAGTTAACAGCTGGATGTGTAAACTATTTGTACCACTCAGAGACTTCATAGTAATGAGAGCTAACATTTATTGAAAGAGCTCTGGTGGCCTACTGGTAAGAAGTTAAACTACCAAGCCAAAGGCTGGCAGTTCAAAACCACCAGCTGCTCTGTGTGAGTAAGATTGGTCATCTCTTCCCATGCAATGTATAGCCTCTGAAAAACCCCTGAAGAGACAACTCTAAGTTGGTTCCAACTTGTCAACACACAGCAACAGCGACCAATGAATTGAGTTTGTAATGTGTGCCAAGCATATTGCTAGTTAAAGCTCCTTTATTATTTAATCTTTACAATAATTTCGTGAGGTGATGACTGCTCCATTTTACAGATGAAAAAAAATTGTTGTTGTTGTTGTTGTTGTTATATGCCATCAATAGTTTCAGCACTGACCCTCCAGTAGGTTTTCAGAGGTGGTAAATCACACAGGAGATTGGCCATCTTTCTCCCAAGGAGAAGCTGTTGGATTTAAACCGTCTCCCTTTTGGGTTGGCAGCACAACTTCTTACCCACTAGGCCACTAGAGCTTCCTATGAAGAAATCAAGGTTCAGAAAAGTTAAGACATTTGTCTTTGGCAATTAGACTGGGAAATGGCAAAGCTGACGTTTGAATTCACGTTTATCTTGCTCTAAATCTCCTTGACACCATAGATAACCCCTGAGTAGCTAGTTAGGTTGCTAATAACTCATGAAGAATTCTTCATAACTCATGTCCTCCCTACCCCCAGCACTCAGCCCCTGCCAGCCACAAAACCCATTAGCTTATTATTCTTTAAATTCAATGATGCTTTCACCAGGCATCATAATAAATTAAAAAAATGTTTCTAATGTTATTTACTCACCAACGGCCAAGTCCCGTGGTCATAGGCACGTTTAGGGTTCTTTCATAGCTGGGGGTAAGGGGTCGGGGTAGAGGGTTGTTCCAGGATGAACCGACACTGACCAGACTTGACAGTTCCTCAAGGTTGCCTTGGAATAACCCACTCCTTCCTGCTCCACAAAATGCTGTAGTAGCTTACAACCTTCTCTCTCTCTCAGGTCCAGCGCAATCAACGTTGTGAAGATCTTGCGAGTTCTGCGAGTACTCAGGCCCTTGAGGGCCATCAACAGGGCCAAAGGGCTAAAGGTGAGAGACAGGTGGGCCTGGGCAGGAAGCCACCCGCAGAGCCAGCAAGTCTCAACCAACCCGTCAGCTGCTTGATGGGAACTTTGCAGAAGTGAGGAAGGCAGCTGGAAGGAGGCAACAGTGGGCAGGTTGCCATGTTGGAACCTGGACTCTGCCTCCCTACATCTCTGACTTCACGTCAGTCTGCATTCCATGCTAAACAGAATAAGGACAGAGGCCGCAGTCATTTAGAATATTGACCTGTAGGAAATATTTTGTAAAGGGGAGACAATTACATAAACCTGGTGCCCCACTAATATAAACAAAGGAACTTTTCCTCTATCCCTAATGGGCTCTTTATTCCTGTAGTTACCTGGCTTACAGTGAGGAAGTTTAAATTCCATTGACTCCCATCCTTCACTCAGCATGTAACTCTGGAAAAGCTTTTATTTTTGTTATGAGCCTGATTTCCTCCACTTGTATGTAACAAAGGAGGTGCTACCTCTGAGAGACTCGTGGCTTGGCTAGATGAAGCCGAGGCTGCAGGCACCTCCTGAAGCCAGGTCCCCGTCCCGGGCCCTCTTCCCTCTGCAGCACGTGGTTCAGTGTGTGTTTGTTGCCATCCGGACCATTGGGAACATTGTGATTGTCACCACGCTGCTGCAGTTCATGTTCGCCTGCATCGGAGTCCAGCTCTTCAAGGTAAAGTCTTTTCTGTGATTGGTGGACCTGCCTCCTTCCCCTTCCATCCCATCAACATTCTTGGTTTCCCAGGATTGCCATAACAAAACCACCACAAAGTGAGGAGCTTTATAGGACAGCCACTTATTGTCTGAAGGCTAGAAGTCCAAATCAGGGTGTCAGTGATTTCAGTGCCTTCATGGAGGGTTGAGAGAGGAACAAGCATGCCTCCCCCCTCGTCTGTGAAGGCTGCTGGTGAGCCTTAGCATTCCTCTGCTACTTACATATGTATCAGCCTCTGTCATTACATGACGTCTGTCTTTTCTTGTGTGTATCTTTGTTTTTGATGAAAAGTAAAGATAGATTTATTAGAAAGTTACATTCCAAAGGGATAGAACTCTCTCCTTGAAAGGAAATACAGAGAGGCCCCTTGTGTGTATCTTTATTTCTATGTCTGACTTTCTCTTCAATAACATGCCTTTTTAAAATTTTATTCTATTATTTTTTGTGTGTGTACCATCAAATTGGATTTGACAGATACAGGAGGAGATTGTCCCTCCTTCTCCAGCAGAGCATCTGGTGGATTTGAACCACTTACCTCTGAGATTTCAGTACAACTTCTTGCCACTAGGCCACCAGAGCTCCCTTCGCGTGCCTTTTTTTTAAAAAGTTAGGGTTAGGGATCCACCCCACTGTGGTGATTTCATTAATTTAACTGATAAATTAATCTGTAAGGGAAAACCTTTTGTTTTCTCAACAGGTCACATTCATTAGTGCAAATGTTAAGACTTCAGTATATCTGTTTCAGGAAAATAACTAAATCTTGTAACAGAAAGGACGTGGAGATAGGTGGGAAAAGCACAGTCTCCATCCTATACTCAGGTTCTTATGGATAAAAGGGAGGAAAACACTTCCCCACCAGACCAAAGACACTGCCCCTTCTCAGTTCGCTCTGCCCCTATGGACCCTGCGCTAGCTTCCAATAAGATAAAGAGGGAGACTTCCATGCTCTGAAACCTCGACTCAGCCTCCTGCTTAAATTTTACAGCAGTTCTCTGTAACCAATAGTATCAAGTCCACCCTTTTCCAACTAGCTTTCAGGACCCTGCATCGGGCAGGTTATCTCCCTCTGCTTCCTGACAAGGCCCTCAGCTATATTGCTCCCACCATCGTCCTTGATTTCTACTCTTTTGTGCCTTATCTGCTGTTTTCTTACCTCACCCTCTCCATGTAACCTTCCACAGTCTTCCTCCCTCTCATGTAGTTCATCCCCCCAAGCCAACTCCTCCTGTATCTTCCTCTGGAGACCTTTGTCCAGATCCCAGCTTCTCTGACTTGGCATTCCCCCAATCCATTTATTTTCTTTTGTTTTATAGTGGTTTGTTTACAAAATTTGAATACACTGTTTTTCACACTGGATCTTTCCCATCTTCTTCACCCCACCCACCCATCCTATGATGATGCCTATCCTCACCCCTCTGCCTCCACCCTCCTCCTGCGTTGGATCCTCATACTCGCTCTACCATAATGGCTTTAAATAGCATTTTCCCTTAGGGGACTGAGTTAATTCATTCAGCATAATGCTCTTTAGTCCTTCGCAAGTTAGGTAGTGATTTACAAAAATCATTGCTCCTGTGTGCTGCTGCATAGTATTCCATCCTGTGAATGTACCATAATGTCTCAATCTGTTTGATTGTGATTTGACATCTGGGCTGTTTCCATGTTCTTGTGATAGTGAATAATGTTGCTCTGAACACTAGTGTACATGTCTCTGTACCTCAATTCTCATTTTCTTGGGGTATATTCCAAGCCTTGAAATAGCTGCGTCATAAGGAATTTCTATGTTCAGGTTTTTTGAGAAACGCCAAACTGCCTTCCAGAGTGGTACCATTTTACAATTCCATCAACAATGTATAAAAGTTTCTATCCTGCCACATCCTCTCCCACATTTATTACTTGCTACCCTCTTAAACTTTGCCACTGTTACTGGAGTGAGATAGTATCTCATTGTGGTTTTGATTTGCATCTCTTTTATTGCTAGTGATTTTGATAGCCAACCATAAATTGAGATACTTGAAAGTAAACCTAACTATAGATACAAAAGACCTATACAAAGAAAACTACAGAACTTTTCTGCAAGGCACAATAAAGGACCTAAAGAAATGGGGAAATGTGCCCTATTCATGGATAAGAAGACTCAATTTTGTGGCAATGACAGTCCTACCAAAAGCAATCTACATGTTCAACTCAATCCCAAAGTTGTTGTTGTTTGTTGTTATGTGCTGTTGAGTCGCTTATGACTCATAGCCACCCAATGTACAACAGCCCTAAACTCCGCTCTGTCCTGTGCCAATCGCACCATCTCTGATACTCCCATCCCAATTGCCCCAGTCACTGAATCCATCCACCTCATAGAGGGCCTTCCCCTCCTGCACTGTCCCTCCACCCTACCAAGCATGATGCCCCTCTCCAAGGACCAGTCCCTCCTTACAAACACGTCCAAAGTATGTTAGATAGAGCCTCAGAATCCTTGCCTCCAGGGAGCCGCCCAGTTTGACCCTTCCCAGGATGAATCTGTTTGTTTTCCTAGCAGTCCATGGTACATTCAATACTCTTCTCCAGCACCACAGCTCAAAGGCATCAATTCTCCTTCTATCCTCCTTAGTCATTGTCCAGCTCTCTGATGCATAACAAGTGATTGCAAAGACCATGGCCTGTATTAGGTGCACCTTAGTCTCCAGAAAGATACCATTACTCTTCAGTACTTTGGAAAGGTCCCTAACAGCAGACTTTCTCATGGAAGTACATCTTTTAATTTCCTGGCTACTGGTGCCAAGAGTGTTGACTGTGGAGCCAAGCAAACTGAAGCTGTGAACAATCTCAATCTCTTCACCATCCATCCTGATGCTGCCAATTGGTCCAGTGGTGAGAATCTTTGTCTTCTTGATATTGAGCTTCAATCCATATTGGAGGCTGCAGTCGTTAACCCTCAATCCCAATACAAATACCAAATTCATTTTTCAAGGGAAATTGTAAGGTTTATTTGGAGAGGCAAGAGATGCCAAATGGAACAGAACTGAGAACCCAGAAATAGACTGAGCTATCTGTGGTCAACTGATAATCAACAAGGAAATAAAACCTATCAAATGGAGAAATGACAACCTCTTCAACAAATGGTGCTGGCAAAACTGCAGAAAGCTGAAACAGGATCTGTATCTCATACTATACCAAAAATCAACTAAAGAGTAAAGCCCAAAACCGTAAAGTTCAACTGGGATCAGACTTAGATGGCCTAGTCTGTAGTATAAAGAGACTGCTAAATATAGCCAAAAATGCCCAATCTGAAGAGGATAAAGTTATTGAATGGGACGTTCTAAAGATTAAATTCCTGTGCACACCAAAAACATTTGCCAACACGATATAAAGAAAACCTACTGACTGGGAACAAACAGTTGGTAATACCATCTCAGACAAGAGTCTCATAACAAAGGTTTACAGATACAAGTAAAAGACTACAAATTACAAAATGGGCAAAAGACATGGAAAGAATTTTCACAGAGGAAGATATTTGAATGGCCAACAGACACATAAGAAATACCACTCCCTTTATTTTTAATCCAAATGGTCCTTAGAGCATTGAGTGCCTTCATTCATTAGATCTTTATATATGTGAGTCTTCCCAGGGACAGTCTATACTCTTTAAGCTGTTCAAAGTCCCAAGCACAAGCCTGGGCTATATAGATACTCACTAATTATTTGTTTGTTTTGCTTTTTATTGATTAATGAACAGCTCCAATCAATTTGTCATTTTGTCTTCCAGGGAAAGCTGTATACCTGTTCCGATAGCTCCAAGCAGACTGAGGCAGAATGCAAGTGAGTACCGGCCAGAGGACAGCCAGAGCCAAGGCTGCCATGAAAACAGGGACTGCCCATTCTCTCTCAAACAGCAGTGGCAGCTGGACTTTTACCCATATGCAATCTGTTCCCTTTGGCACGACATAATCCTATCATCTATTCCTGAAGTTCCACCTGTGAAGCTCTTTATTTACTTAGCACTGTGAGATTAAACCTAGCTAGTCACATCTCACCAATAAGAAGTCACTGTGGGATCGGGTAAAGGGAAACAGAAGACCCCAGAATTACCATTTTTCTCTCCTCTCTCAGGGGAAACTACATCACATACAAAGACGGGGAGGTTGACCATCCCATCATCCAGCCCCGCAGCTGGGAGAACAGCAAGTTTGACTTTGACAATGTTCTGGCGGCCATGATGGCCCTCTTCACCGTCTCCACTTTTGAGGGCTGGCCAGAGTAAGTATGCAAACCAAGGCCTCGTCCAGCTTGATCAGAGGGCCGAGTCCTTGACCTCTCACCCACTTCCCAAGTTCTGTCAGTGCCCTTCGCTCCCCACTCCACCCCCAGGCAGTGAGAATGGCTTTCTAGAACCTGTGTAGCTCACAGTCACTAGGGAAACTTCTTTTTCTAGGATAATTCAACCTTTTCGAAACTCCAAGCAAGGCTGTACCTCTTTTTTGCTTTCTTTCCCATCCTCAATATGGACCATGATACTAAGGGTCTCTGTCATTATCCATGCAGCATCCGGGAACAGACTTTAGGAACATTTCAGCAGGTGTGACCCTTTGACCACCAGAGGATCCAAGAGTGCTACTCCCATTACAAACTCAGTGTAGACAGCTATGGCTGAGGTGTCTCTATTCCATTGTCTCTATTTGCAGTGACAAGGAAAGAAAGGATGCCTGGATCTAAGGTCCTCTACAGAGGCAATGCTTTGACACCTAAAAACCAAGCTGGTCTGCATCGCCTACAGCAGGCAGCTTGCCCATTAGGGGCTCATTATGTTTTTGTTCAGACACCTGCTTTCCACTTTCATTCCCAGTATTTGTTTCCAGGGAAATTATAATCTGAAAATTCAGAAAACAAGATCTTTCTGTATCAACAGCAGCGAGTAGATCTTAGATGAGCATCATCTTTATTATGTGGTGAGATACAGATGGCACCCACAGAGTAACTGAGTACTGGGAAGAGTTAGAAATGAGGTGGAGAAACTAACCTTCTCTTGAGAAGAAGAACAAGATTGATGGGCACATTACTCGTGCTTAAATAAGCAGCACACATGTGTAAGCTCCCTCAGTTAAAAACCAGATAACTGTTGATGATCTGAATAAGCATGGATCATCAAAGTCTTTTCTCTAAATCTCTGTTCACTCTCAGACCTATTTTATGCACACTCTAACCTCCTCTGAGTTCAAGCCAGTTTGTAATGCTATTTCTATGTTTATCAATATTTTAAATCAATGTCCATGGCCCATATGAAGTTTCGCTAGTTCTTGAGGGCTTAAAACGTCTTCCTAGATTTTATATCCTGAAACATAGAAAAGTCAAGAATTACTGTCTCCATTTTCTCAATGAAGAATTACAGAGGTTAAATGATTAGCTCACGTGGCCAGTAAGTAATGGAGCTGAGACTTGCACCCAGATCGTCTGACTCCTAGACTTATGGGTCTCCAGGACCCCTGCAGTGCCATCATTCCACAGAGGTGACACTGCTTCTCCTGCTCCCCCCGTGGGGTCTGTCTCCTCCTGCAGGCTGCTGTACCGCTCCATCGACTCCCATACGGAAGACAAGGGCCCCATCTACAACTACCGCGTGGAGATCTCCATCTTCTTCATCATCTACATCATCATCATCGCCTTCTTCATGATGAACATCTTCGTGGGTTTCGTCATCGTCACTTTCCAGGAGCAGGGGGAGCAAGAGTACAAGAACTGTGAGCTGGACAAGAACCAGGTAGCTTCCTAGGAAGGATGGAAGCAGGAGTTGAGGAGGGAAGCCGGGTCCACATAAAGAATGGTGGTAGTCAGCGCTGCAGCCCACCCTGGGGGGAGGTCGGTAAGGGTACTGAGCTCATCACCCACTCAACACGCAGAGCTTTCTGTCTTCTTGAGTAACCTGTGCAAGACAAATGCAAACCACTGGAAATGCAGTTTTCCAGCAAATCCTGGTTAAATATCTGCTGATGTGAAAAACCTTATGCCCTCTCTAGAAGGCACAGGTGTGTTGGCCCAATTGACAAAGAGATTACACACCAGACACAAAGGAAAATAAGAGCTTTTGGCCTAGGGCACAAAAGTACGTTTAGACAAACACACAGCCAGGAGTAAGATTTCAGTAGAGGCAATCCAATAATATTCTGTTAGGCTCTGAAATCTGAGCTTTACAGAGAAAGAGCTAGGAGCTTCATCAGTGAGGAATGAAGCTATCAAGGTAGGAGGTAGGGTATGGTCCCTGAGCCCAGCTAAGTTCCCAATGCAAAGGCTTCATGGGGACACGTATCCCTACCTTGAGCACTGTGCTGCTAGTGAGAAGCAGCAGCACACAGTGCTCAGCTCCACCCATCTAGGCTGGCTGAGCCTTTCACAAGTTTTAATGTCAGCCTCTTAGGTGAAGACTCATAAGTCTGACTGCTATGGGGACTTTTACTGAAAGTAAAACAGGAAATAGGAGTTTCAACAAAAGTGTGCGTGCGAGATGACTAGACTCTGAATCAGGTCGGTGGTATTTAGAGATAGGAAAGAGTGGAAGGAGGTAAAATTGCTAAGGCTGAGATTGAATGTGGTGGCTGAGGGTAACCGGCAACTGGAGTGACTCCCAGGTTCCTGATTTGGTGCCAAGAAATTTAGCTGGATCTGTGCTAGAATCCCAAAAATCTGGTTAGCCTTAAGATCTGCCCTAATACAGAGTGTGTCTTCTGCTAAGGGAGCCAAGGATTGGAAGGCCATTCCTTTCCTCCTGTGTATTGATTTAGGACAGGGGGAAAAATTAAGCGTCGCAAAGACACAGATTGGATAAAACCAAGGAGAAAACCAACTATAAGTCCATCAGGACGTATTTATCAAATGTTATCTAAGTGCTAAGCACTGTGCCAGGCGTTGTTGTTGTTGTTGTTGTATACCGTTGAGTTGGAACCCACCCATAGCTGACCCCCCCAGTGGGTTTTCAGAGGCTGTTAATCTCACAAGAGGAGATTGTCCATCCTTCTCCCATGGAGCAGCTGGCAGATTTGAACCATGTGCCTTTGGGATTGCAGCATAGAGTCTTACCAGTAGGCCACCAGAGCGGGTTGGGGAAAAAGATAACCATGTAAACCATGCCTACAGTACTGACCTAGAATGGATTCTCTCCTTGATTAAGGAAATAATGTGGAAATAACATCACTTTCTAAACAATATCTCAAATTTTCAGTGAGCTAGAGCCGTAGATTATTTCTCTAATTTCCCGCGACTCCTGTTGCCAGGGTGTGTCATTTAATCTACCTCCTACTGTTCTCTGCCATCCACCCCAACATCATCTAAGTAACTAACCGCCCTCTCTTCCTGCCCACCCCTCTGCTGGCTCTCTGCAGCGACAGTGTGTAGAATATGCCCTCAAGGCCCGGCCGCTCCGGAGGTATATCCCTAAGAACCAGCACCAGTACAAAGTGTGGTATGTGGTGAACTCCACCTACTTTGAGTACCTGATGTTCGTCCTCATCCTACTCAACACCATCTGCTTGGCCATGCAGGTCAGTTCAGCGGAAAGCCCTGGTCCATGGAGAAAATGCTGTGAGAAGATAGGAAGTGCAAAAGGGTTGTATGATCTTCAGTTTGTCCTGTCCTTGGAAGCCAAGGGGGTACAGAAAGAACAGAAGGGATCCCCAGAAGGGATGCTGGAAACAGACAAGTATCCCTTCTCAAGGATATGCTCTTCTCTGGGACCTTTGAAAGTAACTGTAGGATAATAAAACAGAGAAAGGAAGGAATGGAGAAGAGAGAGGGCAAGAGAGAGGGCAAGATTGAAGTGTACATTATTGTCAGTAAGACATAGAAGGTGAAGACTGATTCTGTATCAGACTGTCTTCATTCAGGGAGGCCAACTTCTGCTAAAGCTCTCTTGAGTGCCAAGAGGAAGTCTCCATAAAGCTGTTCCAACCAGTCAAAGAAGGAACACGGAACTCTGTCATACCTTCATTTTCAGAGATGGCAGAGAAGGAAAGAACCCATATGATCTTGAGACAACTTGAAAGATAAAGGCCCTGCCAGGGTTTCATTAGGAGGAAGAGCTCTGCTTTAGATGGGGGGTCTCTGAGGAGGCTGGGCCAGCAGCAGAGAGTAGGAAGGAGTGGGGGTATCACTCATGTTCATGTTTTCTCTCTTCTCCACTGTGTGTCTGCCCCTGCCCTCAGCACTACGGTCAGAGCTGCCTGTTCAAAATCGCTATGAACATCCTCAACATGCTCTTCACCGGCCTCTTCACTGTGGAGATGATCCTGAAGCTCATTGCCTTCAAACCCAAGGTAAGCCTCTGAGGTTGAAAGTGCTAGAGAAGAAAGGGAGGCAGAAAGGAAAGTATGAAAGAAAAGAGAATGAAGGGGAAAGAGAGTCTGTGAAAGAAGCTCAGCCTGCCAAAAGTTGTTGAATAAGACCAGTTCCTTGAATCTGATCCCCAGTTCATGGTCTGGACCGTATCTAGTAAGAACACACAGGAGGACAATTCCTCCCTGAGGTGAGCTTCTCCTTCTAGCAGAGTCACAGGATGGTCCACATCCTCCCATTTGCCCCCCTATTTCTTCCCCAACCCCTAGTGCACAATCTAGAAGGAACTACTCCCCCGTACTGAAAAATCAAACCTCCCCAGGCTCAACTCCTCAGGTCTACCAGGCACCCGTAGTGCCATTCCCCCATCCCCCATCAACCACATAACCACTAACTGCTTGCAAAAAGTTCAGTTGCTGATGAATTTGCTTGTTTCATGGATTCAGAAGCTGCATTCATATTCCCTTGTACCCTCCAGGACAGGAAGAGCAGTTACTTGAAATTTTCTCTATTTTATTCTTTGAAGCAGTTTTTTTTTTTGGGGGGGGGCGCGGAAATTGGGATAGAAAATCAGAATCATTGGCTGAATGAGTCCGGTCTAGGAAGGCTGGATTGCTTATCCATTTGGATTATCTGTGCCCTCCCTAACCAGCCCTATATCCATCCCTAACTCACTGATTTCAAGTCAATTCCAACTCATAGTGATCTTGTGGGATAGAGTAGCACTGTCCGTAGGGTTTCCAAGGCTGTGAATCTTCACAGAAGCAGACTGCCTCAGCTTTTTCCTACCACAGAGCAGCTGGTGGTTTCAAACTGTCACTCTTTAGGTTAGCAGGAAAATGCCTTAAGCACAGCCACCAGAGAGCTCTCCCACCCACCCGTGTAGTCCTAGATAAAGGAACAGCAAGCTAGTGTGGTCAGTACTTTCTGTCTCTTGGCTGCAAAGACTAGGCAGGACTACTGGTATCCACGGACCTAGGATGAAGAGCCTGAAAAGTTGTTTCAGAAGAAGGGTTTACCAGAACGCAATGTCTCCCATGGCTGCTACAACACTTGGAAAATTATGAGAAGGAAAACCTTTGCTCTAGAACTGTGTATTTACAGTAGCTTGAGAAAAAATCTTTAGCTTTCAGACCCTCTCTTTCCCCCTTTCACTAGCTTACCTAGCTTTAGCACAGATTAGCTGGAGTCACCAGCCCTGCTTTCTGTTTTCATTCACAATGTACTTGTCCCAGGATACATTGCTGGCAGGAGATGGGGGAGTGATTCTTGAGTATTGAACTGATATTAACTGACAAGCATACCCCCTCCTTCTTCAAATTCATATTCAGCTAAGATTTTGTGATAGCATACCATGTGCTGTGTAAACATCGTTCTGTGTAATCCTAAAACACTCTAAAACATTCATATCCCATTTTAGGATCATGGAAGTGAGGCTCAAAACAATTAAGTGCCCAGTATTCTCTGTGCCACTGCTAAGCGGGAGAACTCGAGTTAGAATCTAGTACTAATGGCTTTATAACTAAGGTATTTTTTTGCCACATCAAGCTGTTAACCAAGCATCTTTCCATGTGTCCCGCTGGGTGCTTTTCAGAATGAGGGAAACCAGCTTTGAGGGACTTGAGAGGTCAGCTGGGCACTATTCTGCGATGCTGGTTCTTCTCACTCAAACAGAATGCTGGGGAATCATGGCTAATTTTCAGAGTATACGGTTCCTACAGAGCATCAGCCACCAAGTCAGTCACATCTCATAGTGAGCCTCCATCAAATGTCCACGGTTGTCAGTTGTCACCAGAGGAGACTGTCAGTCTGACTGCCAGGGAGCGGCTGGTAGATTCAATTCACCAGAGACGCGTGGCCTTTGTGTTAGCAGCCAAACTTGCTGCAGAGTACACAGACAGAATGCCAAAGAACATCATTCGGTGATAATCACGGGGCTTTCCTACCTCCCCCAGAGTGGCACATGCACTCTTCCTCTCTCTCTCAAAGGCCACACTCCTATTTGGTAGCATCTGTTTTGTTCTGGCCTAGAGTGGCCCACTGAACTGACCTGCCACCTTCTGCATCTACCTTCTATATCTCCTCCCATATGTGATACCATCCCAGGCCACCTGGCCCAAGAGCAGTGGCAGCTTCATCCCCCACATCTCCATGACCAGGTGATGCTGGGAAGGCAGGGTCATTGTCCAGCTGGGCTTTTCTCTCAGATAGCAGCCTCTCAGTGGGGAAACTGACACTATTTTCATCTCATTTCAAGAGACATATGGTTTAAGTATTTCAGAACCTTGAGTCATTCCACAATTGACTCAGATGTGTTTCTGATGATGTCTGATGCAGTCTGCAGAGCCCTGCAGCCCTGCAGTGGACTTTCTGAATCATGGCTCATGAGCACAGGAGGTATATAAAGCAAGTGATTGTGGATCTCAGGGGAGCTCAGCACGAAGGACACTCTACCTAATCCTGAAACTCCAGGAAGTATCCAGTTCCAAGGAAGTAATTGGTCGTGATGGTCTAAGCTGTCACCTACTTTCCTTAATCCTTATTTTTTCTGTTGTGAGAAGATTGGGTAAAAGAAGAAATATTTTTAAAAAAGGAAGATGAGAGCCATCCTGGGACCATATACATCACACCGATCAGAATCAGTCAGAGAGCGAGTTTATCTTTAGAGAAAGGCAAAATGGTTCTGTTCCATGAATCCCCTTCTTTGGAAATGAACAGGTAAAGTTGACAAGCTCTGGCTTGCCAGAGAGGCCAACAAGACTGAGCAATTGGGAAAGGAACGCAAGAGGCAGAGTTCACGGATTCTCATGAGGCTGTGTTCTTCCTTTAGGGGTGTTGTTATTGTTGTTTCTAGGTACCTTCAAGTTGATTCTTACTTGTCACAACCCAAGGGACCACAGAAAGAAGCACTGCCTGGTCCCAAACCGCCCTCACAACTACTGCTGTGTTTGGGTGTATTGCAGCCACTGTTACAACACCTCTCATTGTAGGTCTTCCTCTTGTTTGCTTATCTTTTACTGCAACAAACATGTCCTTGTTCAGAGACTGGTCTCTCCTCATAACCTGTACAAAGTAAGGGAGACAAAGTCGTGCCATTCCTACTTCTAAAGAACAGCATCCCCCAAAATTGCATGCAGAAAATCAAACTAGAAACAACTTGAAGCTCTGGTAGAAATAACTAGCTAATTCTTGTCCAGGAACTAGTGGCTTCTAACAGTGAGCTGAAAAATATACAACGGTCTTCATATCCCACAAGTATTTCACTTCATGATTATGTAGCTATGATATAAGTGAGCCTGTCCTTTCAAGCATTAGCTATAAAAGAACAATTAGGCAGCAAGGATATGGAAGATTAATATTAATCATATGCAGGGAGAAGTTATCTGATTGTCCACTTGTTTCATTCCTTCATTGTCCTCATGGTAATTGATGTTCCCAGTACCTTCATTTCCACCCATCTCTTTACCAGTCCATGAAAATTAATATACTCAAGTAAACCTTGACCCTAACTACAATCACCCCACATTCTAAAACTTACTACTTGCTCTAAACACAGAGAGGGTGCACTGATGGTTTGGAAAAGAGTGAGATGTTTTTAGAAAGTGTGAGATACTATAGATTTGAACGTGTAATAGCAAGACAGGAAATTCCTTCCCCAGAAATTGTAAGAATAATTGGAAGATAGATCTATACTACTTGGACTCTACCTGGCCAAAACTGATCAACATTTAAAAAAAAATTAATTGAGAAGACAGAAGAGTAATTAATAGCTGAACCTTTTATTATGAATCAAAATTTAACAGCAAATACAGAAAATTTAAAATTAAGGTATCTTTTAGAATAAACAATGAAAAATAATCATATGTAGAAATGAATCTATCTAGAAAATGTGTGAGGTCTCAACAGAAACAAACTAAGATTTTATAGAAAGAAAGAAAACATAGTAAATGAAGAGAAATCAACTATTGTGAAGCAGTTCTTTCTCCTCAGAGTGGCCCACAGATTGAACAAAATCCCAATTAAAATCCAAATTCAATGAGGGAGTTTTTCTTTTGCTTTTCAAGGAGAGGAGCAAATGGGGGGGATGGGGGAGGGGTTTGTGCGGGGCGAAGGGTGCAACAATGAATGAATGGAATCCCAAAATCTCTGTAGATGTTCACTGAAATGAAAAATAAACAACCTAAATTTAAAAAAAAAAATCCAAATTCCACCTTCCCCAAGGTGAGGATGGCCAGAGAAAAGAATGCCATTCTAGATCCATTATGGAGAACCTTGAATAATTTCAAGGCTACAATGCATGTAGTTCAACCATGGATAAAGAGTAAACTACAGGAGCCTCCTTCAGGAAGCAGTGTCACCACAGATACTCTGTTGTTGTTATATTCCATCGAGTTGACTACCACTTCTAGTGACCTTATGAACAATGTCTCTGAACCTTGCCCTATTCTGAGCCAACCTCACCATCTCAGACACACCTAACCCCATGGCAGTCCATCTCTGTCAGTTCGTCTCATATAGAGTCTTCCTCTTCTGCGCTATCCCTTTATCCTTCCAAGGATGACGTCCTTCTCAAAGGACTGGTCCCTTCTGGCAACATGCCCAAAGTATGTGAGATGAAGCTTCACAATCTTTGTCTCCAAAGAGCAAACTGGTTTCTCACTCTCCAGGACTATTTCATTCTCTTGGCAGTCCATGATATGTTCAATACTCTTCTCAAGGACCACAACTCAAAGACATCTATTCTTCTTAGAAGAAGAATTGTCATCTTTAGTCATTGTCCGGCTCTCGGATGCATAGCAAGCAGTTGAGAAGACCATAGCTTGGATCAGGCACACCTTAGTCTCGAGCCTGACATTGTTGCACTCTGGAGAAATCATTGACAGCAGATTTTTGCAGTGCTATGTGGATCATAACAAACTGTGGCTGACTCTGAGAAGAATGGGAATCCCAGAACATTTAATTGTGCTAATGCAAAACCTAT